GAACACCCTTAATCAAATATGCAAGTCAAACACTATATGAAAGTCATCAAATTCAGTTACAAATGAAACCAACTACATCACATATCCTTATCTTACACCATCTTTTTTGTTCCCACTACTGCCGCAAAGGGCCTAGGTCTACCCCCATCACCTTCTCCATTCACTTCGATTTTCCTAGACCTCACACATTCGATAGGACTCCTTGGGAGGGTGATCAGTGCGTTGAAAGGCCTCTACCTGTACACAAACACAGATAAATGCACACACAGAAACTAACCTTCTATACCATCAGTGGGATTCCAACCCACAATTCCGGTTTTCATGCGAGGGAAGACAGTTCTCACCTTACACCGCTTGCCTACAATGGCCGGTCCTTATCTTATATTACTAAGTGAAAAATTTCATGCTAAGGGAATAGTGAACATTTTTAATTTCTTTCACCAATGGAAGCCCCATGCTTACAATGCAAGAATAATGCCACCTGTATGGATGAAAAAGTAAGAAGGCAATCAGGCAGGATCAAAGAGGAAGCCACATGAAGGCTGAAAGAGACAGGCATGTAGCACTTGAAGAAACAACCCATCTTCACAACAACCACATGCATCAAAAACCCAAAATTTAATAGCTGGAAAATGAGTCTAAAAGCAGAGAACAACCAATATAAATCCTATAAAGTACTCTCCTGCTGTACAACATACCTCGCTATTCATGGCATGGCGTGGCGGCCCCATTTCCACTGTCATTAAGACACACTTTTCTACGCAATTTCACTATTACTAGATCCATTCCTGTCAAATCTCTTCAACACGACACATCACTGAAGCTTTTGCATCTTCACTGTCAGATCTGTTTCATGGCAACTCAGTTCATAAAAGGGTGTCGAAAAGCATCCACAGCAGCAAACTCCTTGCACCTGTGCAGCCCGCACTTACCTCATCTCTCTGCAGTGACAGCAAGACGCTTACCTATACCCAGACAGAAGAGGTGCACGATGTCTGCATGCGGATGGTCAACTGACACGTCAAAGCAAGACATTATCACAGAATGCCAGCTCCTGTGCTTGCGCCCGGT